TGAAAATAAAACGGATTTGTTGACACCATATGAATTTTTGGCATTTCTTTGGTTTAAGATTATTGACACATCAAAATCAAATTGTTATCGATTAATCAGTTTGTTTTATGTTTTTGGTATTAACTGTATCAGTTGTTATATATTACTCAACGGTTTTTAACTTAAATTTTTCATTTTTAATGAGATTTCTTTTTACAAAAGAAATGGAAAAAAGAGAGAAGTTGGTCAATCAACGTCTAGTCGATACTGATTCAACATCGATTGACATTGATTTGACGTTAATTGACCAATCTGCATTGCTGGCTGGGTATTTGACACCATTTACAGTTTAAGTGCTACTTAGAATAAGTATGTGTTTCACTTGTAGCTTTTTAGCCGTTTTCTATTTTCCATAAGCAAATGATCTCGTTTGTTTGAGAGTCTAACGACTTGCCGAGCAAGTTTCTGCATCCGCACACCTGTGTCACTGAAGAGGTCTTCACCTGACCGATATATTTCGTGAGCTCGACATCGATCTCGAGAAGTCAGTGTGACATAAGTTCCAGTTACTGCCGTTTGAAATTGTTATTGTATGTATCTTTCTATGTACTATATAATGCGTCGATCGTATCTAAAATTTGCGATATCAATGTTACATATAGAAAATTCTTAAGTGTGTTTCGATTTATGTTTTTACAATATTTAGAATCGTTTTAATCTTGTCAGACTTCGATATTTATAAAGGTTTAATATCTTTTTTTTCTTCCCTTCAACTTTTATTAACTTTAATATTTAAAAAATGAAGAAAAATCGTTTAATATTGATTTAAATTTGTCGTTATTAGTTTAGTATATTAGACTTATGCAAAAAGAATCTATTAATAAAAATAAAGATTGGTTTTAAAATATTTTAATTTAAGAGAAGCATAGATGTTTAGGTGTGTTAGAGTATATAATAAGGAAAACGCTCGTGGAGAAAGAAATAAAACAGTTTAAAAAGAAAGAAATTCGCGTGTGTCTTATAAAATCTTATATAATCGCTTTGTTATTTTTTTTATTTATATTATAAATCGTGTATTATTTATTACGTTAAAGAGAACGAAAAATTATTCGCAATAGTAACTGATCGATCCATTTTCCTACTAAACCGCCACATTTGTTATCTCTTTTTTTATTTCTATAACAAATCTCTCATTTCTCTCGACGAATTTTTGTTGAATCTTCTCCGCACACCAAACATTATTCTCGCGATTTTTTATTATTTTTATTATTTGTTTTTATGTATATTGTCGTTTTTATGTGTATATGTTCCTTATAATTCTAAATGATTGCATTTAAGTTTGCGGAGAACAATATTGTTTAAATAGCGAGTTAGAATGTATGATTACAGATTATTAGTTACAGTTATAAAATTATTTTTATTTCGCTTTAACTGCGCGAATATAAAGAAACAATTCGATGGGCCGTGTGTATAAGTACGGAATGGAAAGTTACTTTTTAAAAGTTACCGTTACCAATCAAAAATTAAAATTTAATTTTTTATTAAGCTAAGAGACTGTGACATCGTGAAGAAGGATAAAACGAGAATATCTGACTTTATGCCACAGTCTCTTGGCTCGATCAAAAATTAAATTTTAACACATTCTGATTTTATTACTTCTTTGGAATATGATTGAGACTTGGCTAGTAATGCTAGCACATTATTTAACAGATGTTAAATTTTAGTTTCAACTAGTTACGTTCCGTCTTAATTATTACGAAGCCGACATTGATACCACATAATATACACACTGTCGATGACGATTTTACGCAGTAGCTTTGCAAATTATATTCCTTTTATAACATTATCCTTGTTTGCTTTTTGTTAGACTATTTATAATATTGTAATTCAGTTTTTTCTTTTTGTTTTGTATAAAGAAAAATAAAAAAGTAATCAAAACGTTTACCGATATGGTATATGAATAAACTTATTTTTGCGTACTTATGTCTGCATCGGCTTTTATTCTCTCTATCAAATTCTGAGTCTTATTTAGTTTATTTTAGTTTTTAAATAATTATTAACAATACATATAAACAATATTATATTTATTATATTTATAAGTATTATATTTATAAATAACTAATAATGTACAACATCACATGAGATCACAATAAAAATTACGTCATTAGATTTTATTTTTTAAAATTGTTTTTTTCTACTAAATATGTATTTTATTAGTAATATCTGTATTTTTAAATTAAAAAAATCATAAAATTCTTCACATATTATTTAAAAATTATATTTTACACTTATTATTTCCGCTTTTTATTTTTACTTATTTTACATTTGTTATTTTTACATTCAAAAGGGAATAATTTATTAGTCATGTTCTTAATTTGGGAAAAAATTTGGGACATGTAAAGTGGAACGAAGAGTTAAAATTTGGAACTCTCTCCTAATTTGGAAAGATTGGTCAATAAGTATATATAGATACACACATATTCATACATACATATAACCTGCTTTTATTTCAGTGCTTTTATTAAAACTAAACAACCATTGACTTCTCTTTTTTCGTAGCGAAACAAACACGCATACAGATAACTCACGAACGATTTAGGGATGCGATTAAAGATCTCTAAAGGGATGCAGGAGAGGCGGTCGCTCATTTGTCTTAATAAAGTGCGTCGAAGCCACGCTCTTCATGGTGGTTGACTTATGGCCAGTCATCTGGTGAAGCGGTTTTTCTCATGGGGAATGACCTCTACTAGACCCTTTTTCCCCTTCATGCCAAAAAGGTAGTCTCGTTCTTCCTTCTCGATATTCACGGATACCCCCCGCAATCGTTAACCTCGTCGCTGGAGTCCATCAATTGAAGAGAAGATGTTGGTTAATGATGGCGATCATTCGTCATCGGGTAAATATCCATCCCTCGGACAATTGCTTGTCGAATTCAAGTCTGTTACAAAACTAGACATTTTCAACAAGGATTTCCATGATAGCTCATTGTTTTTTTCGAGAGAGTATTTTGCATCACGATTAATTTTTTAAAATTTACAAGAAATACATGTCTATTTAAAATTGATGTAAATGCATAATAAGACTCGATACAAATTAGGTTTAGTCTTAGGACTCAAACAAATTTAATCTAAAGTTTGAGGTTTAATAACTTTGCATTTAAATAATGATGAAAAATTGTCTGTTAAAAATTTGTCCTGATATTCATAATATGAGTTTATAATTCTTATGGAGTTTGAAATAAAGGAACTAAGTATCGTTCTACAGTGCGTCGACGCCCTCGGTGTAACGTTGATGATTTATCATTTATTTGTATCCACTGGCAAGAAAAATGGGTTCCCCTTGTGACTGTGCAAACAGTGCATTATAGATAAGTACAGGTGGAACTCAAGTTGCCATATTTAACTATGCTGATATTGATCACTTTCGAGAAAGAAAGAGCGTTACACGCATCCCTCGATGCATCAATCGATAGTAAATAGAAGCTTGCGGTTCAATTTGTGCTGGAAAAACCTTCAACATCGTCTATAAAACAGTAGATATATCCATGATAAATGATGCTTTTCACTATTTATCAAATGCCAATGCAAAATGTCTGATATACAATTGCATTACATGACGCTAATTGAAAAAGTTTTACTAGTTACAATGAATATTTTACATAGTTATTTTTATATGCATATTTAATTAATAAAGTAAGACATTGACCACATTTGTCGTCATGAGTCGTCATATCGTCGAGATAAATTAGATCCTGCGATCGTATATTCTACTCTTCTTCTGAATACCAAGCTTATTTCTAACTCATCACGGACTTTCCTCTTTTCAATTTGCTAAGATGGAAAAACATCAGAAAATGTATATCTAGACTACATTCCAAAACGTTCTCTCCGAGGAAAAGTTTATTCGAAAAAATCAGGGATTGAAAGTAATTTGTAACGCCGTTATAGTTACTTTTTTGTAACTGTAACGGTAACGAGTTTTACAATTACTTTTATTGTTAATTTTTATATTTTAAACCTATTTATGACAATTTATCTTTTGAATGTATTTACAATAATCTTTGTATATTCTTAATCTTCAATCTTTAGCCGGTATTTATAATTTGTTTTTACTTGAAGATTGTTTAGTAATGTCTTAAAATGCTAATATGGCTCTGTGATTTGTTTATGATACGTCTAAAAACGAATCATAGTATTAGTATAAGAACAAACTTTATTGGATACTATCGTTTAAGTTTTACGAAAGTAATGTCAGGTGATAAAGGATTTAAGGTTTGTCCTTTATTTCCGCCTTCTCTGAACTGGTGCATGCGGTGCAATAAGTTGAAGCGAAACAAGTATACGTTTGTTCACAAAGTGCACAAGTTCAGAGAGTGCAGAAATAAAAGACAGACCATTATTGTAAAAAAATATCACTTCAGTCGGATTGCGTTTTAAGATCAAAATTTCTTAGAACTAGATACGTATATAAATTCATTCTAAAATATTATTATGCACAAAGTTCTAGCTCGGACTGAAAAAGCATTTCCCTTTTCGGTTGTGTTTTAACGTATCAATGTAGTATCATTGTTATTTACTGTTTTTACGAACATTATAACAAAAAATATTGCAAAATTTTTTAGATTTATCTTGTTTCAACATTAAAAAGGTAATGGTACAGTAACGAATCGTTATTTTGTAAGTAACGGTAATGGTAACTCTCTTTAGTGAATCAGTAATTGATAACGGTAATTTTTTTAATAACGAATAACAATAAAACTAATTACTTTTAAAAATTCCTGGATAATAATGTAGCATGTCATACTCAATTTGCCATTTCTAATTTTGCACCTAGATTTGTAATTAAAGTGCTAATTACAAATTTTTAAATACTGAATTTTATATAAATTAGAAGAATATTTCTTTTTTATTATCAAAAATATTATAACTTCTCTGCAATCTTTTAAAAGTTAAATCGCAGACTGTCTCTAATTATAAACAATTAGATCAGCAATTTCCACTGACACATTACTTGTTTCGCAGACTCGGGTATGGAGCCACCGTCCTCTACATCAGACATCGATAAGATACAACAGCCGGTGAAATTGATCTTATCCAGCACGTGCCATCATGCTTACACATCCTGCAAGTAAGTTCGCAAGTTTTCGTTGTAGTAACCAAGACCAGTCATTGCAGACGAGATAAAGTATACGTGGAACGTTTTTGTTTACTCAGAAATGATCCGGAATGCAAGAATCTGCTGGAACCCGTTCTGAACCACTGCGACTCGACGACGTGCGCGAGAAACGAATGCATGGAAGCATTGCAGCATTTCTACAAGACCGCCAATCACAAGCATTCCGTGGAAATTGCCTTCTGCCTTTGCAGGTTAATCAAATAGACAGCAAAGCTTTTTAGCCCTTTGGTTACATAGTTAAGTTGGACGTGGTTCCGTATCCCTGTGTACGTACAGCTCGGAATTTGATTAAGAAACGTAAACGTCTTTTCGATGAATCAAATGTAAATCAAAATGATTGAGAACGTATTTTTATTTAACAGTGACAAGATATATTGAAACATAATAGAGCATTTATAAGCATAAAAAAGTTATTACAGTGGCGTTTTGTCTCAAAAGATCTCTATTAGGGAAGCTATTAGAAGAGCGTTTCGTTTCAAAGAATAAATTAAAAGGAAACCATTATGTAATGGCACGTATAGTAACTAAAGGATTAATTCTATTATCACACTAATTTATAGTTTTTAAATCATTTTTAATGCAAAAAAAAGAAACAATTTTTTAAAATGTATTTGGAGTTCGAATCTACGACTAGAAAAATTCCATTAGATTGAATTTTTAAGATATAGCAAGTCAATTTTTAAATATAGCATGCTAATCTTTAATGTAGCATTTCTTTCCAAATAATTTAGAACAAGTAATAACTAAAGTGAATATTTTTAACAGAATAATAATTATAATTGAAGAATATCATTCCAAGAATATATATTGAAACAAAAACATCCTAGGCGACTACTGATAGGCTTTAATCGACTAAAGTTGTATAAAAACAAAAATTAAACACGTAACACTTCTAATTTTTTTCTAAAAATATCTTATAAAAAAAACGTTTTAATTTATTCTATTTATATATCATTAACTTAGTGAATTGTTAATTTTGAATTATATAAATGTATACACTAAAGAATACTTTAATCGAGAATTTAAACTTTATACTTCATTTTTATGTAATAAATTTTGCAACATACATCTATCTTATATTGGTTTTCATGTGCTTTTCTTATTACTTTGACCTTTTTTTAATTTTAACAAAACACACACACACTTTACTATATATACGTATATCTATTAGAAGAAATGTCTTTTCTTAAGTCCCTAAAACCAAACCTAGTAAAAATATTTGTCTACCTAGTAAAAAAATTTAAGCTTGAAAATTACTACTTTAGGAACAGTTCATATGCTCTTGTACAAAATCTTGTAAATTACTGCTATTACATTTCTGATATTTATGGATTCATTGTATATTTTGTTCAGTTATTATATAATTTCTTTTCTTTTCTTATCTTTTTTATACTTTC